TTTTTTTTTTTTTTTTGGTACTGGGAATCAAACTCATGGCCTCATGCTTGCTAGGCAAGTGCTGTGCCGCTGAGCTCTATCCCCAGCCCTGCCTCAGACGTTCTCATTTCTAGAGTTGACACCCACTGCCCATGCTCCTATAATCTCTACACTTCCAGTTCCTTTTCCTCACCGAGACATTTCTTTCTTGTGATTCAAAGCCAGGTTAAAAAATGACTTCTTCCTACAAACCTCAGGCCTCCCTCATGTCACTGATTTTTTTTTTTATATCCAATTCCAAAAATTCTAGACTTCATCTGTATTAAAGAGGTGCACTTTTATATCTTTACGTCCCTGGAAGTATTAGCTCACTTGATTTTAATAGACTAGGAGTTACTGGGAGCCTAGAAACCAGTCTTTTCTTTTGAACCTTTTTTACTGCCTTATATTTTCAGATTATAGACTTTTTACAAAAAATATGCCTAAATCCAATACAAATTGGGTTCTTTTTCTGTACTGTTCTGCTTCAGCCTTTCTGCATACTGACACCAAAATTATCCTTCTAAAATGAAAAATCTTAACTTGTTACTTTCCTGCTCTTACTACTAGGTTGTTCAAGGCCAAGCACAATCAGATTCCAATATGACCTTAACAACTGTATCTCCTGCAGTACATTAGGAAGCACAGAGATTAGCCATGCCAAAAATATCCTATTCCCCAAACAGACCTATTGATTTTACTGCATTTGGATCTCTTAGCTATTACCCTTTCCAAAAAGGGTACCTATTACCGTTCTCCACCATGCTGGGAAGGCATTGTACCACTGAGCTATACCATGTGACTGTGCATACTCAGTGCTAAAGTGAAACTGGATTTCTCTGCAAGGCGTTTTCTCATATTCTTCCAGCAGAGGGAGTGCTACCGCTTCCAATGTCTGGTCATTTAAAAGTATATATTTGCTCCTTAGCAGAATTTTATGTTCTTTTTAATATTGTTAAATATATCACGGTTAGTTATTTCATTTTCTGTGTCTGAATATTCTATTATTTGAAGTTCTTAAGAGAACATTAATCTATAGTTATTTATAACTTTTGTTGACTCTAACTTCTTACCTTGTGCATTGAATGATGTTTTGTTTTTCAAATGTAGTGATCTTAAGGACACAGGTATGGTCTCCAGACATGAATTACTTTCCTTTTGGTTGACTGCTTCCTACTTTGTATCATGTTTATTCCCTTCTAAGACTCTGACTTCACGGGGAGTTGGAGGTTCAGGCAATGTACCTCGGATTACCAGGTTTAGTGGTTCACTTACAGCCATTAAGACTTTTGCTCCAGGTAAATTTCAGGTTTTACTTACTGGTTCCTTTGTGATTTGAACACATGTTTTATTTTTTGGTCTTGTATTCATGGCTATATCTTATATTTTCTTGCAAGCTCAGCAATGTTTTTGTAATAGGAATATGTGTTGCAATTTACTTAAGATTAGGTAGCACGTTAGTGGGTAGGTGCTACAGAACATCCAGACTGCCATTCTCCAGAAGTGTCATTCAGGACTCCTGGAGTAACTTAACTTTTGTGTTGGCTTTTGTTTTTGCCTTGATTATTTGATGAATATGTCTAATCTTAAAACACTGAGGGTCAAAGAGGCCTGGGGTTGTGATGTATTTATCTTTGTATTTTCTAGATTTCTTAGCAATGGCAGCTCAGTGTATGGGCTGTAAATAAAAACAAGTGATTTGTTGATAGGAATATGACTTGCATAATGGAAGCTGAGCTGCACCAGAGCACAACAGGGGTTGTGAGGCCAGCGAGGATCGGAGGAGGAACAGGGAGTTTGAGTGTATTCTAAGGGAGTGATGAAATGAGATCTCAGATTAAATTGCTTTCTTTCTCCCTTATTCCCTACATTAATCTATTTCATTCTCTCTTTGAATAGTGTTTTCTGTTTTAATTTTAAATCAGATAATTAAAATTCCTTTTTTTCTCTTAAAACAAAACAAAAAAGTCAAATTAGAAAAGTTGCCATTAAGTAAAATGACCTCATTGTTTGCTTTGCTTTCTGAGCATACATGGTCCTTAGGAAGGTGAAGTGGCTCCTCCTTATGACATGGAACACTGTTGCTGCAGATAGCATCTCTAACTTGTCCTTAGAGACCCATTGCTGTTTAGGATTCCTTTCTCTTCCAATCATCTGTCTTCTAAATAATAGTTGCAGCCCTAGTTTTACTGTAGTGATAACAGTGATTTTGGTGCTTACATTATTATCTCCTATATGGATGTTTATTGCAATGTTTGGGGTATTTCTGTTTCTGGCGACATTACTCATAGAGAAATAAGCTCCTGCCAATACTTGCTCTGTGCCTGAAAGAAAGCAAAGCCACTTGCTGCTACTTGCTTTTCCCATTTGAAATTTGATGGAAACATAGAGCAATATTTTTTTTTTTTTTTTTTTT